AGTGTGTGTCTATGAGTGTGTCAGTATGAGTGTCAGTGTGTGTGTCTGTGAGTGTGTCAGTGTGTGTGTCTGTGAGTGTGTCAGTGTGTGAGCATGAGTGTGTGTGTCAGTGTGTGTCAGTGTGTGTGTTTGTGTGTGTGTCTGTGAGTGTGTCAGTGTGTGTGAGCATGAGTGTGTGTGTGAGCAGAAGGAACGACGAGGAGGCCCCAGTGCACCGTCCTCATGACATGCGCCCTAAAATGATGTGGTACGAATTCCCTGGCTCCTGTGCTTAAGTGTCTCCTGCTAATTTGGCATCGGGGAGCTCCCCACGGTGGGCAGTGGTGCTTATCCGCCCCCCAAAGCCATCCAGCCCTCCCCTAACACAGTCCATCTGTACCCCCAAACCCCACCTGTGATGCTCTCTGGGGCCCTGCTGCTCACGGAACTCACACAGCCTGTCTCCCTCTGAACCCCCTTTCTCAGAGGCCTCCCCAGTCTTCACAAGTGGCCCTGTGAGCGCTGGTCACCCGCTGTGTCATGGCCTTCCCACTGGCATCCTGGCCCCTCCCTGGCCTCCCATGTGGTTGGGCAGCAGGTCTGGTTAAGTGGGAGGGGCAACCTCTGGCTGGACTTTCCTCAGTGGGTGAGTGTTCCTGCAGGGGCTGGTGGGGGTGGCAGGAGGTGGGGTGAGCCCAGAGCCTGGTATGGGACACCCAGGGAGGGCAAAGGGTGACCTGTCCTTCAGCCTCTCCGCTCCATCCGGTCCTTCCAGGGGACCGGCCTGGCCAGGGGGAGGCAGTTTAACAGGGGGGTCCCCAGGGAAAGGGGAGGTTCCAGGTTCCCTGCCCCACCCAAGGAAGGGTGGAACTGAGTAGGGAGGAGGATCTGGAGAGGAGCCTGAGAAGGAAGGAAGCAGGTTGGAGCCAGAAGGCAGAGACATGTGAACAATCTTTCTCTTGGCCCTGGACTGGGTGAAACAGATGTAGGTCAGAGACCCATGGGAGTTTCAGGATGGCAGCGTTTGTCTTGATTTTGATTTTGCTCTTTCCCTCCCAGCCCTTTCTGGCCACTTCTGACCTTTTTCTATGGACCGCTGGAAAGTGCTTTAGACTGTGCTGGGCTTTCAGGCCTTGCTTTGGGCCCATCCCTTTTGGGTGGACGTTACCCACGAGGGGACGGGTCACTTTGGGTGTCTGATTTAGAAACTCTGTTCTTTGTCTTTTCTGTATTGCACACTGTATTAATGTTCCTTTCCATTAAAGGTCTTATATGTCTTGTCTTGATGCGAAGGACGGCAGAACCTATTTGGAATGGGTAGGTTTGGGGGTGCCGGGGTGTCCTCTCCCTGCCCTGTATCAGCAGCACTGTGGGGGCTCCAGGAAAGGCTCCTTTCCCTCCTAACCTGGGTCCTCTGGGTCTGGCCCGAGGGTCTGAGCTGGGTCCTGCACTCTGGCTCCAGCCCCGTCCACCTGCCGCGCTCACATCCATGGTTTTGCTTGTGCGCCCTCACGTTCCTGCCCGGGGGTCCTGTGGGTCTCAGATCTGCAGCTCCTGAGTTCAGGCTCATTTTCTTCCCCTGGGGTCTGACTGCTGTCAGTGTTTGCTCCCCTTTGGCCTCCCACCCCCACCCCAAGTCAGTTCCTTAGCATGTTCCCCATGGATTCCTGTTGGGGAAGTTGCATGGCTTGCGTCAGATTCCTTTTTTGCAACACGGGTGTTATTTGCTTGTTCTGTGCGGACATGTCCACTAGGAGAGGGTGTCTCCTGGGCCCTCCCTCGCTGGGCACTCTGGACCTGCCCTCATGGAGGGGGCATCTCTCAGTCAGAGAGCTCAGTGCTGGAGAGGCAGCCTCCTGTCTCTTCCCTGGGACTGGGCCCTGGGCTCCCCCAGCCCTCCCTCTCCCCCCCTTTCCCCCCTCCCACAGACAGTGGGTACAGGCAGGAACCCACCTCCCTCCTTCCCCTGAGCTCTGTGTCACCCTCCCTCTTCCTAGGGAGCGCCCTGCATGCCTGGCTGGGGCCCCGGCTGGGCTCCCTGGAAGCCTCCTCTGCTGTGGCCCTGGCAGCTAACGGTTCTGGGTAACTACTCAGCACCCAGCACTGGGCTCAGCTCAGCAGGGACGGTGCCGGGAGGGCTGAGCTCCCACGGCTTCAGGCCCTGGATGTGCCAAAATAGGACCCCAGCTAAGCAAGCTCTTGCAAGGTGGCACCCACTGTCTGAGGGCCCCCAAGGTAGAGAGCTGGGAGGGCTGAGGCCCCTCCTGGGGCAGCAGGCAGGACACACAGCCCAGGGCCGTGCTTGGGAGAGGCGGAAGGCAGGGCTGGCGCTGGAGTCCCGGAGGCCCCCCAGGACGGTGGGGACCTGCAGAGGCTACTGTTGGAGCCTCTGGACTAAAGCGGTCAGGCAAAGTGGAGACGGAGATTCAGGATTTAATTCGGGCTTCCAAATGCCGGCCAGCTGGGACCATCACCCCCTAGAGAGTGAGGCCCAGAGAGTTACAGAAACCAGTGTTTATCCGCTGCCGGCAAGGAATGGAAACTTGACTGTTACAGAGATAACATTCTTAGGGTGGGTCCTAGGATGTTTGTCAAGTCTTCAGGAACTGATGGAGGTAGGAACGCAGGGAGGCATCACAGGGCTGAGTCACACACAGGAGCAACTGACACAGCCTTAACATCAAGGTCCTCCATGCCTGGCGCCCAGGTGAAGACAAGGACGTGGAGATGGAGATGAAGCTCACTAGGGAATCTCTGTCCTCTCTGACTCTATCCACAGTCAACAAACCCCGGCACAGGGAGTAGCCCTCCCGGGAGAAGTGTCTGTATCAGGGCAGTCTCTCCACCAGTGGGCAGCCGCCCCTCTGCCCACCTGTGACTCTGCCGGAGGCCTCCCCGCCCTCTCTCCCTCTGCGGGGCAGCAGCCTCCTGCCTGCCCGGGACCTGCACCTGCCAGGGCCTCGCTGCACTGACCCCCCTCAGCGGAGGCCGCTCTCCTAAGGCCGCCCGCCTGAACCGTGCAGGTCTCTCTCTGCCAGCCTGTCCCTTCCGGGGCAGCTCTGCCTGCCCGCCTGCGTCTATGCGAGTGTCTTTCCGCTCCTGTCTCTTTCTAACAAACTCCCTCTTTAAACATAACTGGGTCTCTGTCTCGTGGAGCATCTCGCCGCGTGCCGCTGGAGGGGAGCTCTGGTGAGACCTTTCCCATAGTGAATCCAAGGACCCTGAACTCAAAAGAGGACATCAGAACCATAGGACCGGCTTCCTACCTTCCTAGTCCTGTTGCAGACAGTAACCAGTTTTACAAGTTTTTTACCTTTCAATGCAAAGTTATTTGGGGAATTTCCTGTTGTGGCAAGCAGCAAGCAGAATACAGAAGCAAAATGTCATCAGACAGGTCCAGCACCCCTCCCCACGCTTCTGCTGGCCAGCCCGTCACCACCTCCAAGGCCAGCAAGAGAGCAGAGCAGCAGACAGTCCCAGGGGACCTGAGCCCTGGCCCCACCCCAGCCGGGGCCCTCTGTGGTCTGGTGTTCGCTGCTCACACCCCAGGTCTTCACTTCCTCCAGCGGCTTTCTGGGGGTCGCTGAGCCTCTTCCCTCAGCCTGGGGAAGCCTGACCCTGCCCAGGGCTGCTCTTTAGGGATAGTTGACCCAGATCTGTGCCCCTGCCCTCCTCCCCTTTCCCCACTCAGGCTTGTACAGTGTAGCTGAAAGGAGCCCACAAGAGCAGTGTTAGAAAAGAGGAGGCTTATTGGAGCCAGCTGCTGGACAGGACTCCAAGGACAAGGGGCTGCGCCAGGGGAGCGCAGGGGGAGAATTTACACCAAAGGGTAGTTGGGGAGGGAGGGTTGCAGCTAGAACAAGGAAGTCCAGGTCCAACCAGGCCGAGGGGACCCCCCCATCTGCACAAGCAGGAATGTGGGTAGAGTCCTGTTGCTATGACATCAGCCTCCTCCTGGACACAGCCAGCAGGCCCAAGGTCAGGAGGCCTTCTGGCCCTCGGATCTGCCTGGACTGGCCTAAGGAGGCTCTAACACCCAGGTGTGTGCAGGGCTGCCTGTGGCTGCATCACAGGGAGCAAGGATGGGTTGGAAGGAAGGTTCTGCTGGGCGTGGAGCATGGGGCGTGGGGGGACCACAGGCAGACCTTTACCGCTGCCTCTGTAATGGCACAGGAACACAGGTTTGCAGATTTAAGTTCTGCCTTCTCTAGGAAGAGATTAGTTTTTCCTACTATAGGCCTTTATAGAAAGTAATTTGTAGTTAATTATCTTTCAGAAGCACCATCTATCTGCTAGCGAACATGAGTCTCAGTTCCCCTCAGCCAATAAAAGGAAACTGAGAGTGACGAAAAGGAACGTGGTTTTATTTGTCCAGGGCAGCAGGCCCAAGTTTGAAAGGCCACTGTTCTGCTCTTTGGCAGGCTACAGGGTTATTTATACAAAGCTACACCCACAAGAAAAAGTCTGGGGGCACCTGGGCACGGGTCTGCACAGGGGAAGGAGCGGATGGAGAGGGGTGCAGGGGTCAGCAGATGGAGAGGCCTTTTCTCAGACTGTGTCACATCCAGGCCTCAGAGCCCCTCCCATCAATTAGCCTTTTGCCTAAGACACATTTTGTGGTGGCAGATTTCTGGTCCCTTGTAGGAAGGCGGCTGAGAAAAGAGCAGGAAGGATTCTCTTTTCAAATCAGACGCCGCTGATTTTATCTATCACGTTTAAATTCTTGAGCTGAGTGGTGAGAAATAAAGGTCTGTTTTACTAACACGTTTTGGGGGGACCTCCAAATCCTTCAGGCTGGGCACAGTGCACAGACCAGAAGCTGTGCGTGAAGAGGGGACATAGGTCTAGCTTGCTCTGCAATGGCAGCTGAGAGAGGATGGCACTTGGCTGAGGCCTTGGGATCCAGAAAGTGACTGAGAAACAGCCTCTACATCTGGAATTTTCCGTTTATGCTAACAGAACACTTTCGGTTTCCTTAGAAAAGAAAACTTATCCCTCTGGCTGCCTGCAGAGGGCGCCCGTGCCGCTCTCCCACAGTTACTTAAGGGGTAGCTGGAACAGCAGCATCAGACCACATCAAGGCTGCCGGGTCCCTTCCACGCGTTCAGATTCTGCTTCTCCAGGTAAGAAGCAGATGAGGGGTGGGCAGGGGCTTCTCCCTCATGGGGCCCCCGCTAGGAGGTGGGGCTCTGTGCTCTGTGAGCTCTGGAGAAGCCACAGACCGTTCTTTTGCTTCTCCTCAGGGCACTGGTAAGGCTTCCTGAGGGAAGGGACTCTAGCCGCCAAGGGGCCCCTGTCTCTGGCTCCAGACTCTGGAAGTAGGAGCTTGTTCTTGCTGCACTTTCCCAGAGTTCTAGAGGCAGGTGCAGGCAGGAGAGGCTGAGGGGAGACTGAGGAGCAGCCAGGGAGAGAGCTCCATGCCTCCCTCCTGCCCTCCCTGCTCAGCAGTGGAAGCAGCTGCCCTGCCCAGCCCCAAGCACCAGGGGCAGCCTTGGCCTGGGTGAGTCACTCCCTTTGCTGATGAGCAAGCAGTGTCTCCTCAGCTCTAAAATGCTTCCCTGATCTCCTCTTCCTATATAACGAGGCGCGTTCATGAGAGCAGGAACTCAGGGCATCCTGACTTGGTGTTGGGGTGCAGACACCTCAGTTGTGGGGCTGGGAGAGGAACCTGCAAAGAGCTGCTTCTGAAAGGCTCCCCAAGGTGGATGACTCAGCAATGAATGAGGCACTGGCATCGCAAACAGAACTCAGCCTTCAGGCTCCCTGGACAGCTTCTGCTCTCTCTATCCCAGGCACCAGGACCCTGGTGCTGCCTTTCCTATACAGAGGCAAGCCAAGATTAGTGAATCTACCAAGAAGTCAGGCCCCAGCACCCCAGCCCCTCTCAGCCTGGGAGAGCAGTGAGATGCTGAGCTTCCCACAGAGGGTATTAGACCATCTGCCAGGAAGAGCTTCTCTGGAGTCCAGCACGCGAGGGGTTAATGCGCTTTTGATTGCCTCCTGCCTGGAGAACTGGGCTGCTCAGAGGGCCCTGGCTGCCAGAGCCCCTCTGCCTGCTGGGAGGCTGAGTGGCCTGGACCCTGCTTGTCCTGCCCAGTCCAGTCTGTCTGGCTCCCTGAACTTGAAGCGAACTTGAGTTCAACTTGAATGTTGATTTTAGTCCTGCCCTAGCAACCTGGTTTTACCACCCAGACTGAGTGAAGAAGGTTGTGCTTCTTGGGCTGGAACCCCCAACCCAAGACAGAAAAGATATGCCCACATTCTACCTTGGGAAGGACCCAGCAGATACCAGCATGGGCCCTGAGTTCACAGAGCGCTGGCCAGGCAGCTCAGGCTGGGACTGCTTTGCAGCTGGGACAGGAAGGGGGCACAGACAAGCCCCTCTTGTCACTGGCCTTTTCCCTCTGCCACTCCCCCCACTCCCCGCCAGCACCCCTCCCCCCCCCAAAGCATGAGCTCCTGACAGAAGGGCAGCTTTGATAAGAACACTGGCCTCAGTTTCCCTCAGACAATGGAAGGGAACAGAGTTTGAGGAAAAAGAAAGTGGTTTAATTTGTGGGCAAATGGGGAGGGCAGCAGACCGGCTTCTGCACCCACTTTGGCAGGGTGCAGCATTATTTATACAAAGAGAAGAAGAATAGGGGGGAGGGGGAGGGGGCTACTTTTTCCTTCTGTGCAAGACAAACCTGTCAACCAGGGGGAAACTGCAGGAACCTGGGGAAGGGCAACTTGTTCATGCTGCTCTGGGAGAAGCACGTAACTGCATCAGCTTCCTCACCCCTGAGAGAAGAAAGGGCCCAAGGGGCCAACGAGGCCTGGCCAAGGGCTCACAGGCGCCATGACCCCTGTGCACCTGGGAAGGAGAGGAGGGTGCCCTCTGGGAACGCCCTCGGTCTGCCCTCCTGAGCTCTCCACAAGTTGCTGATGCCCCTTCGGCAGGGAAGCTCCCCCAGGCCACTTCTCAAAGCATTGGGATTAGAGGCTAAAACAGGAGTCCGGCGCCCCTTTCTGTGGCTACCACATGGCGCCAGCTCCTCATGTGCCCTGAGGCCCCGCCTTCCTTCAAAAGCCTTGGAGGAGCTGCTGGGGAGCCTGAAAGTCCCGCTCCCCTGAAAGTGGGCGTCCTGCCTGAGGGGACAGTGGCCCCTTTCTGGGTACTTCCTAGGGGACTTCAGCCATCCCCAGGCTCCCTGCCACTGCTCTCTCCACTGCCTCCTCCAGCAACTGGCCAGTGTCCAGGGATCAAAATGACTTCCCTGATAAATGCAACAATTGCAAATGGGTGCATTGATGCTGGCCAGGAGCCGGGAGGGGTACCCTTGCTCAGTGAAAACCATTTCCCTCCTGCCCCACCCAGATTCCTCTAGGCATTTCTAGAGCAAAAGGCAACCAAGAAGGAACACTTTCCAGCTGAAGAGGCTGCTGGCTTTCCTGACAAGTTCAGGACTGTCCAGTGCTCAGTGTCCTTGGCACCCAGCCAGCTCAGGGCAGCTGGATGGGGGCGCCCCAACGCTGAGCTGTGTTCTCTGCTGGGATTCCCAACTGCCTCCACCTGACTAGGGCCTGACAGGTGGGTCTTCCTGGCCAGCCTGGAGCCCCTGTGAGCCTCATCTCAGGGAAGGACCTGGAGCCAGCTGGCAGACTGCTGCTGTGTGCGCTCAGTCTCAGCCCTCTGAGCTCCTGAGGACAGGAGGGGGCATTTCTTAGGCAGAGACCCCAGTGCAAGGATTGAATGCAAGTGGCTCGCTGGGGAGGTGTCCTCAGGAGCCTCAACAGGGGAACAGGAGAGAAGGGGAGACAGGAGCTGAGAAGCAGGAGTTTGCCCTGGAAACTGGGGCTCTGTCTCCCAGGGGACTGTGGGACAGGCCTCAGGGAGACCCACCGGAGGGGGACTTCTCCCCCCAGTGCCCATCTACTGCCTGGTGGGGTACTCACACTGACACCTCCAGCCTGCTTTGCAGTCCTCCTGGAGGGCCCTGCAGAGAGCGGAGTGTTGGCTTAGGGTCCAGGGAGATGGGCCTCTCAGCTGTTGGGGTGCAGTTTGCAGGGAGACCCAGCGTGCAGGGCAGATCAGGGCACTGGAAAGTTCCCCACACCTGCCCCTACAGACGCATATCTGTGTGTCTTTAGCAAGGGAACTGCCACCCCACAGCCAGAGCCAAATGCCCTCAAAGCAACCTGTGACAAGACAGACCCCTTTGGGGCTTCCCATTAAGACAAACTGTTTATGGGGAGTAGCTTGCACTAGAGGTCCAGACAGCTGAGGGGAGGAGCTGGGTTTGAGCTGGGCTGGGGCTGTGCGGTTGCCCTGGTTACCTTCCCTGGAGCCCCAGGGTCAAGGCTGCAGGCCCTCCTCAGCGCACTTCTGTTTCCCCAGGTGCCGGAGGTGCCCCCCAGCTGCTCCGCAGTAGGTGCACAGGTGGCTGTCACCTGCTGGACTCCCTGTAGTGGGGTCGTGGGTTCTCCGGGCTCCCCGGCATCAGTCTGGGTGCTCTGTGCTTGGCCAGGGACTGCGGTTTATAATCTCAGCCTTCCCAGGCCTCTGTAGGGGTCCCTCTGTAGGGGTTCAGCGGTACAGGGCTTCCTGCGCTCCACCCAGGGAAGCTTAGGCCTCAGCTCCCAGCTCCAGTCTTGCTTCAGTGAGGGAAGGTTCTCTGAGTGGGTTGGGACCACCCAGTTATTGGAGAAAACTGCAGGGTGGCGTGACCTCTCTTGGGCCCTCTGGTCCCGTAGCTGACCACCGTGTGATCACCCCTGCTTCTTTTCCAGGTTGGAACAGCCTTCCCGGCCACCCTACAACCACTCGAAGAGCGATGGCAGGTAACTGGTCCTGGGCTTGCTGGTCCACAGGGCTCACCCACCCCTACTGCCTCCAGGCAACCCTCTAGGTCGTACTGAGGACACATCCCTGATGGAGTCAGTAGGCAGCCATCTGTCAGAGGGGCGTGGGTGCACCCTGCAGGTGAATGAGCGAATGATGCTCTGGACTAGAGGACTCTCACTGCGTCCCAGTCAGCCCCCCAGTGGGCTGGTGACGGGATCCACCATCTGCCCTCTCTGGTTCTTGGTGGCTCTGTTTATCTGAGGGCAGCAGAGGGGCATTAGGTCACTCTGGCGGCCGCGCAGAGGGCACATCTGAATAGGAGCTCAGGCCCTTCACGTGCTGGCCTGTTCCCCCCGCCTGCTGGCTCTGCTCCTGGTCAGCTGGGCTGGCTGGCTGCCAGGGAAAGTCTGTCCCCCGCACCCTGAGCTGC